CGAGTGCTTGAGATAGGAGGCCCTCAGAGGCACTAAGCGCTGCTGCGGTAGTTGCTTTGGCTTTCTGGGGGTCAGGGCACCTGTCGGTGCAAGAACTCAGGGCTCCCACTCCTGTCCCTTCTTTCCCTGCCCAGGGATGACACATTTGTGTCTTTGAACCAACCAACCAACCTAAACCTTAAGCCCTAAACCCTTATGGTACCCTATATGACTCCCCCATGCTGATCTTTGTTCCGCCCGCCCGCTCCACATGAACCAATCCCACTTTGGAAATTGGTAGCTCAAGGGCCAACTGCACCCCGAAAGCGGCCCGATGGCTGAATGCTGAGGGTTTAGGGCGGTTTAGGTTTGAAGGTGGTGGTGGCAGTTATAATTGTTGTCATCGTACTTAGCAGCGGTGGTGGTGGCGGTGGTGGTGGGTTGGTGGAGGAAGACGAGGAGCTACTCCAAGCACTTGGGGTGGGGGGGGGTCCTGGTGGGTCAAGACCTGAGGCTCAAACCTTATCTGGAGAGTCAAGGGGGGCTCGGCAGGTAGGATGTCAAGTGACGCATATGTATGCATCTGGCACTTGTGACTTACTGAGAGAACCTGGGACCTCGTAGTAGGGTGTCTGTATGCATGTGTGTTTGCATCTAGATATGCATGTATGCTAGGAATAGAGAAAACCTCATGGGAATAAACAAACCTCATGGGCTGTCTCGGCAGACCCTGCGTTAGGGCTCCAGGTTTGGATATGAAGATTGCATCAGGGTTTAGAAATCAGTGCAGTAGGGTCTGGTCTGTAGGCCCTGTAAGGCTTGACAGTTTACGATTCAGAGTTTAAGGCTGTTGGGCGCAAGAGTTTCTTCAGCGGCGCGCTGCCAGCAGCGTGGTTACACACAGCAGCCACCTGCAAGGCCGGATCGGAGAACTGATGGTGCAAGCTGCAAGCATTGCTCTAGGGGCCTAGGATTTTATGGGGTACATTATAACATTGTTTCGACTGAAGAGCCCTAAGGAATAGCATATCGCAATAAGTCAGGCCACACTGAAGAAACTCGGCCGTTGTTGTCGGCCCAGCCACCCAACCTTCTCCAAAAAGTTAGGGCATTTACTTCAACGGCGCAGGGCAGAGGGTAGAGGACAGAGGGCAGAGCAGGCAGGGCAGAGAGTAGGGCAGAGGGTAGGGGAGTGAGCACAGGATGGGGGGCTGGGCTGGGCTCGGCAGGACGGGGCAGGGCAGGGCCGGGCAGCTTCAAACCCCGAGCACTTGAAACTGCACAATACTAGCTCATTACACCGGAAGGTGGCCCCCTCAAACTGGGAGGTCCTAGTAGACTGACTATTGGAGGCACTTGTTACATGTTAAAGTTGGGGGACCTGAAAATCCAACAGCCCTACCCAAAACCAAGGGTAGCACAATATAGGGGCCTGAATAATTACCTACACTATTATGGGGGTTCGTTACCACAGTTATAGTAACGTATAGTATACCACAAGACCCTATCCTAATTCTTAAGGCTTCTACATTAATACGACATGACTGCCCAGAGACCATACAATCTGAAGATTGAAAGATCGGCAGCCTTGGGGTGCGCAACCTTATATAATCTAAACCCTAAACCTCAAACCCAAAACCTAAATCCAACCTAAACCATACCCTAAACCCTAAACCCTAAACCCTAAACCCTAAACCCTAAACCCAAATCCAACTTATGCCCTTATAAACCCTACACCCAACCTAAGCCCTGGAGCCTCAACCCTCAACTCCCGGCAAGCCTCAGACGCCGAGCCGAAGCCAAGGAAACAGCAAAGCTTTGGCGCGTCAGGTCCTGGGTTCGGGGGTTTAGACTGTAGGGTTTAGGGTTTAGGGCTTAGGGTTTAGGGCTTAGGGTTTAGGAGTTTATGGTTTAGGGTGTAGGGTTCAGGGTTTAGGGGTTTAGGGTTCCTTCAAGGACTCCTTCAACAGGGGTTACTGT